TTGCTCGACTCGAAACAAGGGCGTTCAGTCGGCTAGGCGCTAAAATTTGTTTCAGCGGCGAGAGAGAAAGAGAGAAAGGACGAGCCGGCAACAATCGACCTGTACGCGGCAAAGCGAGAGGACATAAAAGAAAGGACGTGGGATAGAGAAAGAACGACGAGTTAGGGGTTGGGAAGGGGCAGGATGGAGATAGCACAGGCATGCAACAAAAGTAGATATCGCAGCGTGATATCGCTCGAGTGCGCGCCCGCGCGCATTTCTGTGTGCGCGAGAAAGAAGGAATGAGAGAATGGATAGGGAAAGAGGAAGGAGGAGAGCGACTACGAGGAGCGAGACCTGGCTCTAGTCGGAGGCAGAACTGGCGAAGAAGGAGCCTCTAACCGCTGCGTAAAAAGGTTTTTGCAAACGAAACTTTGCAATTACTTAAAAATTTGAAAAATGCAGAAAATTCCGCAGATTTTAGAATGTAATATATTAAGGAAATTTAAGAAGCCAAGTGCAGTATTATAAAAATCTATCTATATCTTAACGTATACAAAATAACGTTATAAAAAATTGCGTATTAATGTTTTGCATTCTGACGATGAGTTCATGTTGATAAAGATATCGATTCTGTTATCTCTTCTTTTATTTATCATACAAATCTACGTTGTCTCTTGTTAATCTTTCTCTAGCATTTCGCATAGTTTCGATCGTTTCGAAAAGATTTTCGAAACTTCAGAGTCTTCTTGTACACAAATCGTAATAACTGCTCGGGACGAACGCCAAATTTACAGGAAGAATATGCTATTTTAACCGTCCGCTTTTATGCCCACCTGCGTTTCGACTATTCGGACACTATTCTCATCGTATATCCACTATCCCGATTTTTCGCCAAAGACCAACACTCTTCGAAAGGCCATAGTCAACCCCGACTATTAACATCGTTCACTCGGTAAGATACCTGATACCTGCTTCAGTATCGGGAAGCACATCATTCGTCAACGAAGTCCGTTTTTGTCAATTACGCTTATGCTTTTTTAATCGGCCGTTGCCGGGAGAGCTCTACCTTGCTCCAAGTCGAGCAATTAAGTGGAATGGCGCAACTGCGTGGAGTAACCTAGTTGTGTGCCTTATCTCGCATCGGCGACGTAGCGTGCGAAACGCGTGTATCTCTTTGGCGCCATCATTTTTTCCCCTTGCGACCGATCGTTCCCGCGATCGTGGATAGTTTTAACCCTGTTCGCTCGTTCTCTCATTCTTGCACCGCGACAACGCACTTCTCGACGGGATATTTTCCTGCAGTCTCTTAAATTACCATTCTGTCGAGTAAGCTCATAACGGATAACCGGATAACGCTTATTTGTCTAAGTGAGAAAAAATTTTGATATGTACACCAGACGTCAATAATGTTTTCCAGTTCAGGACTTTATCAGTCAAAGGCATCGTGTTCAAATATTTGTGTATAACTTTTCGTAAGAAGTCTAAAACTACAAATTCATTAATTTATTTACTGTAGGAGTTATCGTTAATATTTCAGATTACATTTAATCTTTCACACATGTTGAACGTCTTCAGATATCAAATTGTGAAAAATAGATTTAAATTAGTTTTTAAATTATGATGCATGAATACATGATATCTAACGATCCTAAAAATCCTAAACTGAGAGTATAAAGCATTGTTGATAACTAGTACAAATAAGATATCGATCTTATTGATAACATATCAGAAAATTTAAAAAAAATTTTGAATTTTACAACGAAATAGACGATAATAATATCATATTTCGTTGAGACTTAAAATCAATCGAAAGATGAATAATCCAGATAGATTTTTATATTTCAAGATGATACTAAGTCTTGTTTAACGAAATAAAACGGTCAGAAAAAAATCTAGCCTTGATAATGTTTCGTTGTGATATATCGATATGGTTTAATTCAACGGCAGTTCTTAAACGAGGTTAAATTACGTTTCACTGCTATGTCCAGCGCGCGATCGCACCTGTACGAACGCTACTCGCGGATACGTCGATCTGATAAGGTCTAACCACCCCGTGGCAAGCATAGCAGATAGGGTGGTAATGCCCGTAGTCGGATGCGCTTTTCGAGCCGCCACTAAAGACGCTTTTCCGTTTTTCGTGTCGACGTCGAGACGCGTCGCCGCCGCCGGTGTTCGCCGGTGTTCGAAGACGCTTCGTTACATCTTTAACCATCCGCGTAAAAACTTTCCTTTATAAAATAATCTTTACAAGAAAAGGGCAAAGTAAATTGTTGTTTTAAATGTCGAAATCGAAATTCTTGTGATTAAAAAGGCGTACGGCGATTCTGAAACGTTCCAGTATGATGCGTGACGATGCAAGTAACGACAGAGTTCTCAATTCAGACAGAGTGTGTGTGTGGTCGCTAAATCCCTTCCAAACGAAACTATCGCTCGGCAAACACACGAACCGAGCCGAAACATGTGAGGAATCGTATGGAGATGTAGAACTACAACTTCTGAAGACCCACATGACAGTATTCTCCCTTTCTCCATTTGGACAAAAAGATAGAGACACTCGCTCGAGGACTTCACCTTGTTTCTTTTCAATGCTGTCCGTCATAGCTAAAAACGCCGCGTGTCCCCTTATTCACGCGTGTAACCCAATTTTCACACGCCGTTAAATTCCGTCAAGAAAACGACCAAAAGAAGCGCTCTATTAGAGGCACAAATAGCCAAAGTGGTATACACCGAAATGCCGCCTCTGCGAGCGAGCGAAACCAAAGTCACATCCCGCCGATCTTCCTCTTCAAGAGACCTCCTACAGCAATTTCCGTGCGCGCAGATACGTATATTTTGTCGAAATGTACCGCGTTCGGCAACGACGCGCGTAACACGTGAGCTTCTCTTTCGCTGCCGGCTTCGATAACCCGAGGAAGGTTACGGGAAGCACGGCGAAAAATCGTAAAGCAGTGAAAACGCAACAACACCACGCGCTACACCGGCAACGACAAATAATAAATCGGCACTTGTCCGCGGCGAGGTAGCGCGTAGAGGAGAGAAACGCAAGATAAAGGGAGAGAGGATGGAAGCAAAAGAAGAGCGAGAGCGAGAGGACGAGTTTCGAGAGAAAGAGAGAGCGCGAAAGAGGAAAAGAAGCGTGGCTTCGCCTCGAGTAGAAGAAGAAGCGGACGAGGAGTCTCTCGTTCGGATAGAGAGGGCGGGCGGGCGGCCGTAAGGAGTAGCGGGAGAGAGGAGGCTGAAAAATTCAGAAAGACACCGAGCAAGAAAAGGAGGCGGCGAAGGCGGTGCAGGGAACGGGAAGAGAAGAGGGAGACGACGAAGGAAGGGGCCGGCGGGAGGGAGGTCGGCCGCGGTGCGCGGGGGCGGGCGAGAGGGGCAGAAAGCGCTCTGAAACTCGTTGTTAAAGCCGATAGAACGCTACTACGGGCTCGTCGGCCTTGCTCGCCACTGAGCAACATGTATATCTCCTTTATGCTAGGTGATAGAGGAAGAGAGAGAGATTCGTTCCTTCTTTTTCTCTCTCATTCTTTCTCTCTCTTTCTCTCGTCCACTTCCTATATATCTGAACGCGCGGGCGCGCAGATACGAGAGTTCCACCCATCTCTCTAGCGCAAGCATATATACGGGGTGATCCGTGAAATCGTGACCGACCGATCGATCGGTTTTTCGTTGCTCTCTTTCTCTCCCGTCACGCTCGACGTCCGACTGCGGCTTCGGGACGAGAGTCCGCGATTCGGATCACTCGCCTGAATTTCGATGGTAAATGAGTCGAGCAATCTAGAGCCTTTTCTCGGCCAGTTGAAAGTACGAGTAGTTGCCGAATTAGAAGCAAGGCGGCCGGAAGCAAAGCGCGCATAAAATAGCGAAATTGTATTATTTATTTGAATTTGAAATAGGCTCCACTTTGTCACAAATTTTATCCAATTTGTCCATTAGATTTGCGGTCGAAATTTTCGAGACACCCCGTACATAGTAACGACGACGGGGTCTCCCGTCGTCGTTAGAATTTCTCGAAGGCGTCGGTCTCGGCCGCGCATTAGAAACGCGAAGTCGTAGCGTACGTTTATTTGTCATATGTATCGCGGCCGTGGTTCTGAGCTAGGTTTGGCGCTCGGTATAGGTTAAGTTAGGTCTAGTTTACTCCAATTTACGAACGACGGGCAGTCGCGGCACAAGGAGAAGGAAAGAGAGAGAGAGAAAAAGAGGGCGGGAGGGGGGGTGGTTGAAAGAGAGCGGCCCTCGGGACTTTAATTTCCCCGACGTACGGGGCCCGATGGTTTAAAAGCGCTCCTAAGAACCCGCGGGGCTTTATGGGGGTATGCCAGAATTAACCATTAACGTGTGATTGTACTGGCGGAACCCCGCCGAAACTTGACACCGCGATCTCTCCTGCTTGCTTGGTGCCAAGGCTACGTCGAGCAGACGTGAAACATAGACCGACTTGTTCGATTGGTCTTAAACGCGGGCTAGAACGGAGCTAGCCCGAACGCACTACGCGGATAACGAAATGAGAAGTTGGTTCGTTGCGAGACATTTGATAAATAGTTGTGAGTCTAGAAGGAGGGAAGAAAGTAGGACTCTTTAAACTGATCAATATTTCGAGAGAAGAAATATGATATTACATGAAATTTGTAATATAGAATAGTAATATATAAATAAAAAATATATACGTAGTATGTGTGTGCGTAGTAGCATTTTAAAAGCTTAGGAATGTTATAAAGAATATTATAAATCCATTTTAGATTAATGAATTATTGAGATAAAGAAAGCCAAAACGTCAGTTGGTCGGTCGAGCGATTAAAGCGATACGAAAAATTAAATAAATTGATGGGAGAAACGTTTCATTTATTTTACTTTTTTTCCATATTTAATTCTGTGTCTTTTATCATATGCGAATCACTTATTAGTATTTTGTGCTGTGATATATACAAACTAAAAAGTATTGCAATAAATTATCGAAACATTTCTGCTATAATCTAATCGTTTTTTAAAAGGTATAAAAGCTTGTTTCGACTCACCGCATTTTCGACGCGTTTTTTTCCAAGTACGCATTCTTCATTCTCGCTGCTTTTTATCGCATTCTTGTATCTTTCTTCGGATCTTCAATGTCAGCAACGAGCTCTGGAACAAACGAAGAGAAACATTTAAAGTCACTTGAAGAATCGGCCAAAATTTTATTGTATCTTGTTCTCTCTTGATAACTCTTTCGGAGTGAAATTTTGGGAAGTAAAACCGTTGATAATCATCGCATAAAGCTTGCGACAATAAAAACTCACAATCGAAGAGATTCGCAACTTCGCAAGCATACACTCTGATATCGCTTTTCTTAACATTACTTGGTCAACATCTGCAGAACTTTAATCTCTTGGATATTACCTTCATTATTGCAGATACTAACGAAATAATGACTTCCCCACCGTTATAGCTATTTTATGGTCAATATACGCAAGGCTAGCTATATATGCCTAGACCTCCTACCGTCAGAACGTAGAAGCAAACGGAAGAAAATGCAGTTGCAGACTTTTAAACGGACGTACTGCGCGAGCAAGTTACTCTTTCTTATCAATATTCGTCAATTTCATTTGTTCAAAATACTGACTTTGGTTCCATGTTTTTCTCTCTCCGACTTGACAAGCAGTTGAAGTTTTAACCGATACGTATCTTATCTGATACATATCTGTATTTCACTTTGAAGATTGATTTCTTCCTGAAAGTTACTTTCTTTACTCCTCTTACTTTCTTTTTTCTCCAAATTTATTTGCCTATTTATCGATTATCGCGAAACCAATATCTCTCACCTGCGTTAGGTCTAGCCCTAGTGTTTGGTCAGCTTTGTTTCAGCTGCCTTTAAGGTCGCAAACTTAATGTATGTCACTCGCAATGTATATGCATCGGCTATTTTCAAGGTCGGCATTTCTCGCGACGTTGTGCGCGATTGTGCACTTAGCAGACACGGATTTCCAGAAGTTTGACGAGAAAAAGCCAAGCAAGAGAAGGAGAGAAAATATCGAAGCGCAGAGCAAAGTCATTTAATTCGGGTACACCCCGTGAACGCGGTATCGCATCGCGGACGATGGTGGGGCGCCAGTTGCCTAGCGACCTGCCCCGGGAAGCCTCGTAGTCCTCGGGCGCACTTTGTTTGCCGTAGCCCCGAAAACACAAAGCTTTTCGTGCCTTTACGTACGATGCATAGCCGTACGATCACGGATCATAGTGTAAATGCCGGACGAACGGCGTAAGAATAGTACGCGGCTTTAAAACTTGGTCCACATGCGAGCGTCACCTTCGAACTGCAGGTGATGCGGATATTAATGAAAAACACGACTGCATTTTACAAAGTAAGCTATAAAGCTTACCTTCCTGGCGGAGAATCATAAATCCCTGATATTACGCAATTGTAATAAATTTTTATACGTAGAAATCCGATTGATTCAATAGCTGTCATTGTCACTGATTTGACGAGTTTGCATTGCTGGCATATCTTTAAAGATGAGCATCAAGCGAGACACCGGATAATCATCTGCAACGGATAATACCCGAGACCGTCTCTCGATCTCCACCTCTCCCTTCCCCGAACGCGTCTCCTCCTCCTCCTCCTCCTCTTCCTCCCGTTCGAGTGAAAGTTTCGTCGGGAAAATCGCGCGGATGGATCCTTGATCCTTGATCCTCGACGGCTTGAGAGAGTAAATGGAAAAGCGTGTGAAATTCCGGAACGGCCATCCACTCTCTCAGCTCTCTCGTCCCTTTAAAGTCAGCCTCGGATGCAAATTACTCGACGAATAAACTATACCGATGCGCACAGTTTTTTTTTTTCCCCGACCATTTCTGAAATAGCTCGCGTATACAATTAAGACGCGCAATTTCGTCCTACGTCGACACTTTGATCGACAAATACGGATGACGCCTGTGTTTTATGAGAGTTACGGCATTTGCGTATGATTTTATTTTCAATTCGATTCCTGTTCGTGGTTTGTGCGCGAGCAATGTGAAATACGCGAAAAGCAAAATCTTTTACTCTTTCGATGTTTTCTGAAAGAGAAATATGCCTTAATATCCGAATGCCATAATTTTCACAGAAACGAGAGTACGACTTGCGCACGACTGCCTGCGGCGGGTAAAACGTTAACGGGTGGTCTCTCTATCGCTTCACGCTAAGGATCACTGTTGCCGCTCAAATGGCATGTAACAAGAACCCGTAGTAACAACAAGCGTGGAACGAGAGGTATAGTCGCGTGGAACTTCGGGCTTACGGAGGAAAGGCGCGTAAATGCCGCGCTACCTGAAAATACCGTAATATTCCATTCAGAGTCGCGTTTCGTTCCGTAACTCGCCGAAGATACATCGCGTGTGTCCTTATGCGATGACGCGCGCGACACGATGAGTATAACGAGCAACTCGAGTAACGCAAAATGCATTACTCATATTGGCGCTCTTTGCTGAGTGCTGACCCTGATTCTGGGAAAGGGATGAAGGAAGAGACGGTCGGGTCCTGGAATGCTGCCCCTAGCTTAAAACCCTCGTATACCTGTCTCTCTCCAACGCTACTCATGTATTCTTGTTCCTCGTTGATCTCTTGATGCTTCTTTCTCCCCTCCCTCTCTCTGTTTATCTCTCTCTCTGCTGTTTGACCTTCTCGCTCGGAGAGTTCCTCCCTCCATCTCTTTCTGCCTATCTTCTAAGCTAGAGTTTCTTTCTTCTCTTTTCGTCTTTCGTCGTCCGCCCCCTTCTCCAGCTTTTCTGCCTCTCGCTGCGTTGCCTCTTCTTTCGTCTCTCGTCCTTCGCTCTCCCTCTACGTCTCCTCTCCGCATCCGCGGACCCTTTCCTTAGCTTCCTGTCTTCCTTCGACGGTGCGTTCTCTGTCTGCTTTGGAGATTGATGCTTTTCTTTCTCTCTTTCTTTCTTTCTTTTTTTTTGCTCGTTTCTCTCCTGCGTTTCTTTGAGTTGAGATTCTCGAGTTTTTACAACTAGAATTTTTTGGTATCTCTCATTACGTTTCATTAGCTTTATCGAACAATAATTAGAATTCCTGGGAAGATAATCCGAGTCGTCGAATGTGTACAATAATCCTCGACAAGTTTCGTTATCTCAGAACGACAGACGAGCTGACAGAAAGATATGAGGCGACAGAATGATACGAGCTGGGAGAATGTGTTAGTACGTTGCGGAAAAATTCTTCGTTGCATGTCGGAGGGATTTCGTTCGATTCGGTCTCCTCGGCCAGGTGCTCCGGCGGTGAGCGAGCACTATCAGCAAACGCGGGATCCGTGTGGGTCGAGAAGGACCGACGAAGGAGTCGGAGCGCGTAGGTAGAACACGGCGCGAGAGGCATTGAAGAAGGATAGGAGAGCCTGTCTTCTCGAACTGAGCTCTTCTCGGGCCTGAAGAGGCTTAAGGACGCCGTTGGGATTCGGGCTCTCGGACCTCGATTTACAGCCTCGAACACGATTTGCTGGACGTTGCCGGCTCGTCTCAAGCGCGTTTCTAGTCATGCCGAGATGAATAATATTCAGGCGTGAACGACGTATTCGGTGCGAAAATAAAAACTTTAGGACTTCATTCTATTAGCGCGAAGATCGATCTTTTCGAATTACAAAAGCGAATTAAGTCGCTGTTGCATCGAACTCCATTTCTTAAAGAATCTAATTTCTCTCGGAGTTATCAGTTTCTTAAGGAAGCGGAGTTACAGATTCCAACTGTTGAAATCTGGCAAGTAGAAACGGCGGATCTTCCACGCGGCGCGTTGCTGGAGATCGGAAATTTCGGCCCTCGGAATAGCGCGGGATTGTGTGTGGAAATGACAGCCGGCTCGGCTCGGTCGCCCCCATCATGTTGCGTTGGATGGGAGGGAGGGGGCGGAAGGGAGACGAGGGAAAGGCGCGGGAATCCCGGCCACCCTCTCCCCCGTCGCCTGGGCTGCATATATCGACCCACCGATGGCAGAGCAGAGTGTGCACGACCCCTGACTCGCGCATACATGTGAGAGGAAGAAAGAGAGAGAGAGAGAGGGGAGGGGGGGGAGGGAGGGGGAGAGGGAG